ACTCGCTGCACTTTCTGTTAGACAATATCCTATTTTGCGTTTAGAAATTATGTAAGAGCAGCAGTCACGAGGCAGGGCAAATCGGAGAAAGGGTCATTCATTGCCCGTCGTGGATGAACCCAGTTTAATGCATGCGTTTAGAAAACACTGTTCTCTCTGTTCAGAAATATTAGTTCACATTCCATTCATTTTGATAACCTTTTCCTTTCTCATCCCAACTAGCCAGCTGCGGCACCGTCAGAACACGCAGACCAGGGGCTGCCTCTCCTCCCGGCTTGACCGGCACCGCCTCAAGCACAGTGAAGGACAGACCCTGACCTCAAAGTCCCTGTCACCAGATGCCACTCAGGAGTTGTGCAAGGGGCAAACGGGAAAGTTCCCGCACGGCAAACTAAGCATTAGGAAGAAAATAAGAGGCAAGTTCTTTAAAGGAAAGAATTGTAAAAATTGAGAAAGTAAAAAAATAAATAAAACACTTAATCACACCCACAGAATTGTGTGATCCTAGGTTGGCACGTCTGCCACCCCCATCCCTTGCCAGCAGACAGCATTACAAGTGAGGGGCTGACCATACCCTAACACCTGACCACTTAGGAATTCCATCAAGTAAGAATTAGGGTCGGGGATAGAGCTCAGAGGTAGAACGCTTGCCCAGCACACGTGAGGTCCTGGATTCAATCCCAGCACCACACACAAAAGACAATCAGATCAATAAGTCATGATTCATAAGAATTTCATAAAAAAAAAAAAAAGAGCCGGGCAGGGTGGCACCTGCCTGTAATTCCAGGGACTCAGAAGGCCCAAACAGGAGGATTGCAAGTTTATAGCCAGCCTTGGCAACCGAGAGAGACCCTGCCTCAAAATAAAAGTAAAAAGGGCTGGGGTCGTGGTTCAGTGGTTAAGTGCCCCTGGGTTTGACCCCTGGGGGACAGAGGGAGAGTCAGAAGGTCACACACCAAGGGGCGAGGGTATTTACCTCTAGAAGGGCCTGGCATGGCAAAGAACACTTTAGCTTACAGTGTTTTAATTGTTTACGGGAGACATATTTGAGTAAGAACAGGCACGGTTTATTTTTGCATGTTCCCTGGTATTCAATCCTTTGACTTGTCAACATCACAAACTGGATAGCGAGGACTCTCTTTCCCATCTGGTTATCAGGGGTGCGGTGGGGTGGGGGTGAAGCGTCTGGATCTTGAGCCCCAAGATGACCTGTTCCAACACGTATTGGTTCCTTTGCAGACCCAGGTTAACTAGCTCCAAATTCTCAAGTACTTTGAAGTCTTCAGACTCAAAACTCTGTCAGCCGCACCGTGGCAAAGGAGAAGGGATTCACTGTTCCCTAAGTTTTTATTGACAATAAAACCCCTAATTTAGGCTTTTTCCCTCCCTTACTGTTCCTCTAAGGAACATGCTATCCTCAGGATACCCAGATATGGACTCATGCCCAGAGATAAGATCTGGCAAGAGAACACTGCACGTCTGGCCACACTGGCACCCAACCCAGAAGGAAAGCAGCCCGTGCCATGGGGTGGATGCGGGCTCAGTGGGTGGCTTGGACATAGTGCTTATGACCTGCGGGTCCACACAAGGGACGCTCACCTCTTCAAAAAGAGTAGAAAAATCAGCACACACCCGGATCTGAAATAGCACACACACAGGGCGTACTCTGCACATAAAATCACAGGAGGCAACAGTTCAGCAGTACTGACCACCGTCCCCCAGCACTGACCACCATCCCCCAGCGCTGACCACCATCCCCCAGAGCTGACCACCATCCCCCAGAGCTGACCACCATCCCCCAGAGCTGACCACCGTCCCCCAGAGCTGACCACCGTCCCCCAGCGCTGACCATCATCCTCAGCGCCGTGTGGCTGACTGCAGGAGGAGGAAGATGGCCATGTCCTGCACAATGACATAATCCAGTCACTTGTGGAAACCCTAGGAGACATTTGTGTCTGATTCTAAGGCCATCAGAAATCACAGGAACCGAGGATAAGAACTGAAACGCTGTCTCTGTTTGGCCTGACACTGACATAAGCTTCCTAAACAATGAAGGAAAACACAGATGCGACAGTCACACTATGGCCCGATTTGGGAAATTACAGTGTTTCAAGACAGAAAGCAAAATCACTTTAAAACGTCAGTGTTTACAGACTGCTCCATCCGCTCCCGTGTGTGCGATGTGGAGATGAACTAATCTGTCGCCTCCGTGGGGAGGAGGTAAGCGCTACTCGTAAAAATAGCAAAATGATGCTCTCGATGTAGAAAAAACCCACATCTTTGGAAATATTCAAGTAACTGAGGATAGCAACTCCATCTGTCAGTGCGCATCAAAAATCCTAAAACTGGGGCTGTGGCTCAGTGGTAGAGCACTCGCCTAGCACGTGGGAGGCCCTGGGTCTGATCCTCAGCACCACATAAAAATAAAAAAATAAAGATATCGTGTCCAACTACAACTAAAAAATAAATACTAAAGATAAAAACCCTAAAACTGCCTTTGGATCCAGCAACGGCACTTGGTTAACCGCCTCGGATCTGACCCGAAAGGCGGGTGGGGGTTGGGGGAAGACCTGGGAAAAAACTGTTGGTGCTGGGGATGGCACCCAGGACCTCGGGCTTGCTAAACATGTGCTCCCCCACTGGGCTCCATCCCAGCCCTGCCCTGGAAATGGCGGGACCACAGAGGGCCAGAACTCCCAGTGTGTGTGGAGCCTGCACATTAAGTTGAAACCTGATTGCCAATAAGTTGAGATGGACATAGTACTGTGAAAATACCAACCCACGGGGTCGGAACAAAAAGTAGAGAATAAAAAATTAAATCAGTAGTTAGGAACTTTCTCACAAAGAAGTATCATTAAACATTTAGGGAATAATTTCATCTTTCCTTTAGTATTTCAGGAAAAAAGAGGCTGGGGTTGTGGCTCAGCGGTGGAGCACTCGCCTCACATGTGCGAGGCCCTGGGTTCGATCCTCAGCACCACACAAGAATAAATAAATAGAATAAAGGTATTGTGTTGTCCACTACAACTAAAAAAAAAAAAAAGAAAGAGCAACCCTCTAAACTCCTAAAAAAAACAGAGGAGAACAGACAAGAACTGAAAACCATAGACCAATTTCAAGGAAAACGTCTTAAGTAATGTATTTTTTAAAATTCCGCTCATGTATTAAAAATATACATCATAATGTCATTGAGTTTGTCCCAGGAATGCTAATCTGGTTCCATGTAATATAACTGATTCATGTAATTCACTACATTAATGAATTAAAGGAAGAAGAAAAATATTTCGTGATATTCAGTACCAAATCAAGCTTAAAAAACAAACCTCTTGGTAAAAGAGGGAAAATACTTTAACCCAACAAAGGATTCATCAAAATCATTCTTCACGGGGAAACCTTGGAGCGCCCTCTCTCTAGCCAAGGAGACAAGGAAGTCCCCAGGGACTGCGTCCACCAGGCACGGAGGGGCTCCCCAGCAGCAGAGGAAGACAGACACACCCCCCCAGGCAAGGGGTCGGGACGGGGAGTAGGGCTGTCTCTGCAGAAAAATCAAAGCAGAATCACAAACATCACCTCCCAAACTCCAGCTGGAATGTGAACCAGGAGCCCTGCATTCTACTGCCCCGTGAGACAGACGGGGCGAATGGGAAGAGGAGGAAAGGAAAGTCTGATCCGGTTTATATGAAGGTGAAAAGGAGACAGAATGACAAGTCTGCTCACTGGTGGTGCATCTACACGTGGAGAAACTGTGAGGAAGAGCGAGGAAAGGATTTAGCCCAGATTCAGGACAGAGTTTAGCCCTGGGGTGGGGATCAGGAGGAGGGCAATGTCCGGGAGGGGCCATCAAAGCAGCAGCAGCCCAGCTGCCTAGGACAGAGCCTGCGCCAGGAGGTGCGGCTTCTGTACTTCTTTTTTGGTACTGGGGATTGAAACCAGGGGCACTCAACCATGAAGCCACATCCTCAGACCTTTTCAAATAGTTTTATTTAGAGATAGGGTCTTGCTTTGTTACTTAAGCCTTCACTAAACTTTTGAGGCCAGCCTTGAATTTCCAGTCCTCCTGCCTCAGCCTCCTGAGTTGTAGGGATTACAGTTGTCACAGCCACTAGGCCCAGCTTTTATTATTCTTTACATTGTACATATACAGTATTCATTGTGCTTTGTTTTGTGAAGCTGGGAATTGTACTCAGGGCCCCACGACTGACAGGCAAGTGCTCATCCCCATCCCTCTAGATTTTGGGGTTGGAGGCAGGTTTGGTACCAGGGATTGAACCCAGGGGTGCTTTGCCACTGAGTCACATCCCCAGCCCTATTTTGTATTTTATTTAGAGACAGGTCTCACTGAGTTGTCGCCGAGGCTGGCTTTAAACTCATGATCCTCCTGTCTCAGCCTCCAAGCTGCTGGGATTACAGGCATGTGCCACCCGCCTGGTTAAACACCATATCTTGAAGCGAGGAATTTGGCAGAATTGGGCAAATTCTAATTCATGCCATTTTTCAACTAAAGTCATTTCCAACTAATCTGGCAAAAGCAAAGGATGTCTACAAAACCACATGGCTTTCCCCACCGGGAAGCAGGGTCCTGCGGGAACGCGGCTGTTCAACAGGCGGATAGCGTCGAGGCTTTGGGAAACAGGGAAAGGGCTTCCAGGGAAGAAAGGCCTTGGAGCAGCGCAGACCAGCGGCTCGGTGCGCAGGGACCTGAGGCGCAGCCCGGCCTCCAGGGAGGGGCAGCAGCCGGTGGGTGCTTCGAGGCAGCCTGGAAGCAGCCAAGCTCCCCCAGTGGGCAGAAGCACTGCCCAGGCCTCCAGAAACCGTCTTTGAAAAGCCATGAGACGGGCTGCTGCCATCGGCACGGGTCCTGGACCCTGGACAAGCTGCTGGGCTCCTCACCTGGAGGCTCCTCGGGATGGAAAACGCCCGACTCTGAGCCCTTCCGTGGCTCATGGGAAAGGGACCGTGGGGCGGGCGCCTGGGGGGGGCGAGGACAGGCGGGGCCTCACCTTCTCCACGTCGGCCTTGGTCACGTTGATGTCCGCGTCCATCTTCTCGAAGTACTGCTGCGCCCGGTCAGCCTCCTTGCAGTCCCGCTCGAACCGCCGCTTGCTCTGCGCCCGGAACACGGAGCCCGTTACCCAGGGGGACACTCTTACCGCCCCCAGCCCCAGCTTTCTGGACTGGTTTCTTGTAGGTCTCCAGAAGCCATTTTAAAATCTGCATTTATTTCCATTAAGACTGTCTCATCTCTGCTGTTCCCACGACTTCTAGAAAAAAGAAACACTCGAGCACTCTGGCTCCACGTGTAATGGAGGTAACGGCTCTGGAAGCAAGTTAAATGGAATTCCAAGGAGAAAAGCCCGCGAAGGCGTCTTTTCGGTGTTTTTGTTTACTTATCTACTTTTGCTCACTGAGCGATTCAAGCCTGAATCAAACTCGAATCAGAAAAAATCCATAAAAAGTTGCTTTCGGGCTGGGGATACAGCTCCGCTGGTGGAGGCCTGCCTCTCACGCACAAGGGCCTGGGTTCAGCAGGAGGGAGGGGGGGGGGGGGGGGGGGAAGGAGGAATCGCCTTCGCGGTTTGCTTTCACTTACGGACTCAAGCTGCTTCCAGCAGGTCTCCATGTGCTGCTGCGCTTTCCGGCCATCGTGAAAGTTCTGCAAAGGGGAACACTGGGCATCAGTGCCCCGCCCTCACGTGGTCACAGAGAAGACACTTTCCTGCACTTAGGTAATACGGACACCCCCACGTCTGGGATGGGGCTGGGTGTGACTCAGGGTAGAGCGCTGGCCCAGCCACAGTGACGCTGGCGGTGCAACCCCAGCACCCCAAAACCAGTCCACGTGGACCACCTAGGACAGGCCTCCAGAGGGAGAGTCGGAAAACCTGGAGAGGGCTCCCTCCAACACTCCAGAACAGCCTGAGGGAGGGGACAGGAGGTCCTCAAGACAGCAGCCACCTGGTCGTTTCAGCTGTTCTGAGGTGTGATCCACATGCCACGGGACGCACCCACCTAAATTGTTTGGGACCACCACGATTGATTTTAGAACATTTTCATCAGCCCCAAAGTAAAACCGAACCTCTTAGCCGTCACCCTCTACCCTCGCCCTGTGTCGTCCCCAACCCCAGAAAGCCACCATTACAGCTCCTGTCTGTGAATCTGCTGGTTGTGGGTATTTCGTGTGAGCAGGTCACAGAGCCAGGAGAACCGTGTGACTGGCTCAGGGTCTCCATTATCTCTAAAGGCTCATCCATGTGGTCACAGTGTCAGGACCTCAGTCCTCTTCATGGTCGGATGACACCCCGCCGTGGGCCAATGCCACACTTCACTTGTCCGTCTGTCCGTCAGGGGATGGACATTGGTTTGTTCCCAGTTTGGGCCACTGAGAAGGCTGCGGCAAACTCTTGTATCAAAGCTTCACGTGGATGAGCGCTCTCATCATCTACACTGATTGATTGATTGATTGGATTTGCAGGGCTGGGGATGACCTCAGGATCTGGCAAATGCTGGGCCAGCCCCTGCCACGGAGCCACACCCCCAGGCCCTTTAGCCAACCCAGCAGAATTTCCTGGGGGTGGGACCAGTCCTGTGATATGGAGATGTCCAGGTGACCCCAGGCTTGGGGTCTGGGCTTTGGGAGAGGAAGCCCAAAGACATCGGGTGGGAGGCGGGAGGGCCGGATGCACAGCACTAGTTTGGTCTAAGAGTGGGATTTCTGGGAGACTCCCCCGTGGACAGTCTAATGTGGTGGGCGAGCAGATCTGAGGGTAGGGAAGGGTCAGAGCCAGGGATCCACGCAGAGTCACCAGTGTTGGGTGGCAGGTGCGCAGAGGCGAAGTTAGGTGAAGGAATGACGGGAGCCAAGAGGTCCCCTGGGCACATCCGCTGAGCTCTGAGCTGACCCACAGGTGGAGCCACGTGGCCGGCCGACCTGGGGAGGGCCTGGGGAGGGCTGAGGGGAGCCGGGGCCGGGGCTGGGAAGGACAGTGCTCCTTTATGGGGGACAACCGGGCTCCCTGGGGAGGTCAGGTTTCCCTGCTCCGTCTCTTCCAGCCCAAGGGGAGCCCTGGGACTTCATTATTCAGCTCTCACAGTGGACCCAGGAATGAAAGCGAAAAGCCCAGGAGTCTAAAGCTGGGGATCAAACCCAGCAAGGAAAAGGCTGTGGAAGGATCAAGAAGCAGAGCTCAGGGCAGGGGAAGCACCCAAAGTAGGAGGAAAGAGGAAGGAGGTCCCGGGACAGGAGGCCGCCGCCAGCAGGGGTGAAAGGGTCCCTGGCAGAAGTCACCTGGGGTCAAAGTCAGCCCTTGCAGTGAGGCGCCTTCCCAGCCCTGGTCCGGTGGCTCCCTCCCCCTGTCGAGGGAACCTGTGGCCCCGGTCCACTTTATGCTCTGAACACAGCCCTTGCTGCTCTGCGGCTGCGACTTACTTTTAGTGAGGACATCTTTCTTTCTCCTCTTCTCCCCCTGCTCGTCCCCAACCTCCCGCCCCCAATCTCAGGGGACACGGGGTCCCCGTTCTTCCCCATCCTAGACAGAGTTACGACGGGTCCCGGGGCACACACCCACCACACGAACCGAGTCAGACTCTGGGGATGGCACCAGATCTCAGAAATGGCCACTTCCCAGATCAACCAGGAATCACAACTCACCTCCACAGCGGGCCCGGGAGGCAGCCTTGACCACCTCCTCAGAGCCCCTGGTGCCTGCTGGGCGGAACCCAGCCGGGGACAGGAGTCCCCGTTTCTCTTTTGCTAGGAGAGCAATAAACCTGCTTTTCCCCTTTCTCCAAACCGTGTCCTTGCGATGGGATTGGGGTTGGGACGAGGACTGAGCCTTTGGTAACAAGCTGTCCCCATTCCCAAGCGGGACCACAGGGTCCTGAGGTTTGCTGACGGTCTCACTGGAGACTCAGACAGGTGCACCAAGAGGAGGGAGCCGGGACGCTTCAGAGCTCTGCTTTGTCTCCACGGCAACTCTTATTTTTATTTTTTATTTATTTTTGGTACCAGGGATTGAGCCCAGGGGTGCTGAACCACGGAGCCACATCCCCAGCCGTTTTTTAGATTTTTTAACTTGGAGACTAAAAATATTACAAAAAAATAAATAAAAATAAAACCCCAAACAACAACAGAAAAGCCAAACCCCACGGCCTTCCTGGCCGCGTGGCCCCCGGACCACATCCCTCCAAGCAGAGCCCACCCTGCGGCGGCCTGCACCCCCAGTCCTCCGTGCCAGCCCCTCTGCCTCCTGGGGAGGAGCGGCGTGGAGGGCTGCGCCGCAGATGCACTCGGCGTTCACCAACAAACAATGGCAGAGCTGCGCCTCTGCACAGTGGGCAAGCATTGTCCAGAGGGCCTCCGGCGCCACAGAGAGGGGAATTGTCCTGGGGACGAGATAATAAGAGCTTTGGGAGCGGGAGGAATGAAGTCACCAGAGCCCCCTGCTACCAGGGACCAGGCCCCACTCCTGTGAGGAGATGGCTTTCATTTCTCCCAAATCATGATGGGACTTAAAAAAAGGAATGCCTGATGATATCGCAGGTGACAGCGACAGTTACTTACTTCCATTTTAACTTTAGTCTCCACAGATAAATCACCTTTGGAGATTTGTTTGAAAAAATTCCCAGGGGCCAGGGGAAGCCCAGAGACGGCTCAGCCACAAAATGGAAAAGCACCACAGAGAACGCAAGCCACACAGCGCCCAGGAGATGGAGGAGATGGACCGCCGGAGGCGGGGCGAGCCGCCGAGTGTCCCCGCTGGGCAGAGAGGGTGACACTGGCTCATCCTGCCCCGTTTATGTAGATCAAGCCACTAGTGGTTGAAAAACCAAACCACAGCACTGAGAGCCTTTACACAAATAAGTAGAAGAAATAAGAGAACCAGCACCCAAGTGAGCACGGTCAACCAGCACCCAAGTGAGCACAGTCAACCAGCACCCAAGTGAGCACGGTCAATCAGCACCCAAGTGAGCAC